TGTGCTTTCATCTCTGAGTGAGAGGAGAAGTCGCTGAAAGGTTTTGTGCAAAGAAGTAACAAGAAATGACATTCTTAAAGACTCACAATAGCTACTATATTGATAATAGATTGGGGAGGGGAGCAGGAGTGAAGCACAGAGGCTGTTAGGTTATTGCAATAATCCACGTAAGGGATGTGGGTAGCTTGATCAGTCCAAAGATGCTGAGCATCTTGCCCAAGGTGACATAACTAGTAAACATAGAGGTAGGATGTGACATAAAGACAGATTTCAGCCCCTATTGGATGTTCTCTAAAAATTTTCAAATGAATAAAGCCAGGAAACAAACACTAAAGTTCCCATTTTCAAAAAGTTATTAAAAAGCATGTTTATTTCACCTTGACACTCTGTCATTAAATTGGGTCTCGTGCCGATGTGCTGCTGCTCTCCTTTCTGGTATACTTCTGAAGTGCCCGCAAAATGCTCAGATAAATTGGATACAGGTTGTGAGAGAAAGAGGAAGCAAATATATCAATTCCAAGATTTGTAATATAGAGCATGAAAATCACCATTGACTTTGGGAAAGACAAGTTTTATGGGGAAGATCAGGAAATAGGTTTTATGCAAGCAGAGAAAGAGAGAAATCCAGATACAGATGACAAGTAGGCAATTCATATAGGAATCTTACTGTTTATTCTGAGTGCCCTAGATGAACTGATTTTTCAATATTTGGATTACCCACACTCTCTTAAATATTTCAAATATTGTTTTTGATAATATCTACTAAGTGGTATTGCAGTTGTCAATCTCACTCATTTGGTACGTGATGCATACATATATCCAGGTTTATTTTTATGAAAAAGCTATTTTGATCATGTAAAATTCCTTTCCTCAAGGATCTTCAGTGGCTCTCACTGACCTATGCAATAATCTCAAAGTTTCTTAATGTGAAATTTAAAGGCTTTCAAAATTTGATACTAATCAACATTAGATGAGCTCTACTCTGGCTACAGTGGGCTTGTTAGAATCCATCATACTTAAGTTTATCTATTTCCATTCTGTTTATGTTGCTCACATTATAGAAATATGCCTCAGCTTTTAACATCTATCAAAATCCTATCCAACCTTCAAGGCTCAGCAGGAAGTGTAGCTCCTTTCATAACTATTAAGGCTGAGAAAAAGCTCTCTCTCCTCTGAATTCTTACATGCAAGCAGATATACGTTATGTGCATACACATTAATTTAATTGGAAGCAGGGACCTTTGCTTATTTTCCTTTGGCATCCATTCAGTGCCAAGTGAAACATAAATGATCGATGGTCCGTTCCTTTTTTCGTATTATTTGTTGCTAAATAATTTGATCAATGTTCCCCATCCTTAAGATCATATTGTTAGTAGTAGTATCTAAGTTTTTATATGTATTCTCATAAGTAGCAAGGAGACCACTATTGGGCCCCTAGGAGAAAGACACTATTACTATTCTCATTTTACAAATGTGGAAGTTGCACCTTAGTAAGGCCTTAAGCATCATGTCCAAAGTCACAAGTAGTGACTGGGAGAGTCAAGATATGAATCTAGATGACCTGAGTTGAGAGTCAGACCTTTTTGATCACCAACCAAGGCTCTCAGTCCTGCCTGGATAGCACACTCACTTAAAAAAAAAAAATTCATGCAGGGGCGCCTGGGTGGCTTAGTCGGTTAAGCGTCCGACTTTCGCTTAGGTCATGATCTCGCGGTTCGTGGGTTTGAGCCCCGCATCGGGCTCTGTGCTGACTGCCAGCTCAGAGCCTGGAGCCTGTTTCAGTCTGTGACTCCCTCTCTCTCTGATCCTTTCCTGCTCACGCTGTCTCTCTCTCTCCTAGAAATAAATAAAACATTAAAAAAAATTTTAAAAAAATTCATGCAGATAGATTCAGGAAGCAAAAGAGGTTTTCAACCTTCATTTTAAAAGGATGGAAAAAAAAAAAAAAGGTGGGGGCCTGTTTATTTTACCTGACAAAGAATGCCTCCAAGCATTTATAGAACTGTGATGATCTGTCTTAGACTAGTTTTGAGAGAATTATTATCAACTCAGATGAAAGTTACAAACCAGTGGCTGGTAGTTCGTTGGTACTTTTTCTTCACCATATCTCTCTTTGTTAATTATTTTCCTCTGTGTAATATTTTAGTGACTTGAGAAATGAGAACTCTTCAGAATCCCCTTGGGAATATGTGTTTTTCTCTGAGATTTATTGCAGCCCGTAAGACTTCTTACAAAACAGAGCTTGACAGAAGGCCAGACTCTTTTTTTCTTTTTTTTCTGTGAGAGATATAGAGCACAAATGGGGAAGTGCTCGAGAGAGAGAGAGAGGGGGGGGGCGGAGAGAGAATCTCAAGCAGATTCCACACTCAGCATGGAGCTCAATGCAAGGCTTGATCCTCTGACTGTGGGATCATGACCTGAGCCAAAATCAAGAGTTGGATGCTCAACCAACTGAGCCACCCAGGCACCCTTAAAAGCCATACTCTTAAGTACATAGCACATATAAGAGGGCTGGAGGTGAGGTAAGAAGGGCATATGTAACAGAAAATGTCCAGTTTATTTCTAAGACTGGCCTAGTGCAAGCTCCTGTCTTCTTAAACCAAACTTGGGGTTCTCCAGAAGAGTTATTTTTAATTTATAAATTATCACATGTCTCTCTGAAGCTAATGGATAATCTGCTTGCTGTGAAACTGCATAGCAGAAGAGATAAAGGAATTATAATGAAAAAATGCAGTGGTATAGGATTTCCATTCAATAGAAGGCAGCACACCATGCTGTGCTACAACAGTTGAGTGTGCATCAGGATACTGTACAGAGGAGACCCAAAAGATACCAAGACCAAAGATGGTACTTTCTGGCAAGAAATGATCTTTCTAACTAATTCTTTAGGTCAGTGTTACCACATCCACTGGGTTATTACTACCAAATACACAGATACGGCTGAAGGGAACCTTGAACTATATCTATATACCTCTATCTCTTTATCTCTACCTCTATTTCTCTCTATCTCTGTCTATGTATAACTATGTTGTGGGAGACAGCAATTGGAAGAAAATATTTTTTTATGTTTATTTATTTTTGAGAGAGAGAGTGACAGAGTGGGAGCAGAGAGGGGCAGAAGGAGGGAGACACAGAATCTGAAGCAGGCTCCAGGCTCTGAGCTGTCAGCATAGAGCCCAATGTGGGGCTAGAACCCATGGACCACGAGATCATGATCTAACCTGAAGTCAGACACTTAACTGAGTGAGCCACCCAGGTGCCCATGGAAGAAAATATTTTTATGTTATAGTTTTATTTTTCTTTTTTGATGAGGAGGTTTTAGTGTTAATGAAGTGTCAGTGTTCAGGAAATCTCTCCTTATATTCTCTAAAATCAGATCATATGTGAGTTGTAACTCTTACTTTTAGAAACCAGAACAATTTGATTCCCACCTGCATTTTTGAATATTGCCTTAAGGAAATATCACTCCATTTCACAAATGTACCCCCAAACCAGACCAAGAAACTAGCAGAAAACAAAACCATGTACACATATATACACGGCAAAAAGTCTGTAAATGTGGCATGTAGATATTCATCAATTTATTCATTCAGCAGAATGTATGAATACGTGCTGTGTGTAGATACAGAGGTGAATATGGAAACATATAAATAAACTATGTAAATGCTAAGTAAAGGCTCTGCTTGGTTGGTAAAAGGAGTTCAAAGAAGGTTAGGGGGTAAAAGAAGCATTAGGCAGATTTCCCAGGTCAACTGGTTGGAGGCGGCCCAGACAGGGGGATGTTCCAGCCAGAGAAAGCAGCAGGTGGTAGGTACATGGCCTATTTCAGGAAATGAAGGGGATTCAGGATGGCTGGGGCGCAAGGAGAGTTGGAAAGTAGTGCTAGATGTGAAGTAGGAAAAAAAAGACAACATCCAAATCTTAGACACGCACGGTTCTCTCTTAAAGAGTTTGAATCTCAGGAATTGTAGGATTTATCTCTCATACAAGTGACTATCTCATAGGAAGGTGTAAAGAAAAGTGTAAATTAAGTGATTGACTATAAATTCTTTCTTTACTTCCTTCAGCAACACATTCTTTTCTTTCTGTATTCCTGGCTCTTTTGTGCCCCCTCTCCTCCAAGTCTGGAATGAGGTCTTCTGCTCTACCATGACCCATTTATGTAGCTGCAAGCATCATCTTTTCATGTTTTTATCTGCATTACCCAGTATTCCATTACCTCAGTGCCCTATAAAATGATGAGTCAACTCATTAACATTAAAATATTAGTACAAAATAAGAAGGATTGAACTGCAAATGGATCATGGAGAAATCTGGACTTAACCTACGGTCAAGACAGCCTTAAACTTGAGAAGCAAGTTTCAACTTTCTGCCAATGTGAAAGATTAGCTTTCCAAACAATGCCCATTTTTGTTATACTGAATTTTCTCCTTTAGTTCCATAGGAATTAGTAGCATGTACTGAATTACATATGACTCATTAAGTTCCACACAGCTAAGCTCACAGTTAGAAGGCACTGCCAGAAAATCTTGCCTTCAGGGAAGCAAGTAATCGAGTTGTCAAAAAGTCAACAGTTACCTAATTCTCTGGGAAATACAGTGAAGTTATGGCAGTTTGGCTACTGAGGAAAGACTTGGTTTGCCCAGGCTTTCTGTGGTAACTTCCTCCTCCAGTGGGAGAAACTGCCAGTAAAGGGAAGAATGACAATTTACATACCATAGCAAGGCTAATGGCCCCTCTCTTAGTCACAGCCTGCCTACTTGAGACATCCTGGGAAATCCCTATTTGGAAGAGAAGAAAAGTTAAAGTCACAGACACTGTGCTTATAAGCTTATTCTGTGTAATTCATGTACAGAGTCACTTCTGTTCATTTTTAACGAAAAACAATTGCTGTCATTTTCTACCATGAGTTAACAGTGTGGTCTTTTAAAAATTTTGTGTATTTGGTTGCGCTTTAAAGGATACTGCAAGAGACATTTTCTTTCTGTCTTCCAAGACTCCAAGAAAAACAGCTTCCATGGCACATTGTGTACAAGGCACAACTAGAATGAGTGCTGCAGAAAGTTCTACCGAGCATGAAGAGGTAAGAATGCATTTCTAGGGGAAGAATTGACCATATCTAGTATCAGTTGATTTCTTATGGTTAATTATGCAATGATGAATAAGAGTAGAAATGGCTAGTGTGCTTTCTTTAGATAATATCTGCTCTGTATTTTTAAAAAAATTTTTAATGTTTATTTATTTTTAAGAGAGAGAAAGAGAGAGAGAGAGCACAAGATGGGGAGGGATAGAGAGAGAGATGGAGAAACAGAATCTGAAGCAAGCTCCAGGCTCTGAGCTGTCAGCACAGACTAGGGGCTCAAACTCACTAACAGCAGGATCATGACCTAAGCTGAAGTTGGATGCTCAATGGACTGAGCCATCCAGGCACCCCTCTGCTCTGTTTTAATCAATGTTATTTAAGGAGGAAAAAGTATCTGGGTAACTACTGCATTTCCTCTAATCCCTCTGACCTCCATTTCTTCTTTCACAAAGTGAGATTAAATCCTGTCCAAAGTCCTTATAGCTCACCAGTTCTGTGGGCTCCATAATTTGCTCTTGATTTAGGGAAATCTGGTTCAATGTAAAATGTAAAAAAAAATATTGGTATAGTTGGAAGTAGAACATATTATAGAAAGAGAATCCATAGTAAAATATTTATATATGTACAATGAATACCATAGTTTTTGTTTGGTTACTGGTTACTGCGACAGATACTTACCCAACTGAATGAATGAATGAATGAGTGTTCTTTCTAAAAGTTTTATTGAGAGATAACCAAGGTATGATAGCAAATTAAGGGAACTCTTTTGTTCTTTAGATACTTAATTTTGCGGTGTCAGAATTGAGTATCTTAGAAGTTGGTCCCGGTGTTATGGTAAATGAGAAAGAAATGCCCGCACATTTTAAACACAGATTGCACTGTATAAGGAATAATTGTCCTGTAAGTGGAGCTCTTAGTAGAACCAATGACTAAATATCTTTGTATTTATGGAAACATCAGATATCTTCATTAGCAACTGAAAAGCAAAGCAAATGTAAATGAAAAATTCTCCCCAAATTTTGTGTTTGATTGACTTTGCTCTATTTTAATACATACCTGAGACATATGAAACTCGGTAAAATGTTGATTAATCTCCAGAGAAACTCCTGGGATACATTTATGACTTATCAGCAGTTCTTATTACTGTGCTTTCTCTCTCTCACTTGCAGGTTTAGTATCTAGCTTTTCAGTAACTCTTATTCATAAATAAAAAATCAAAGTCCAAATGTTTTACTATTTCTTTCCAGAGAAAGTTATATATGGCCAAAAAAAAAAAAAAAAGCACACTATCTAATTATTCTTAATCTGGATTCCCAGAAGCCTCGGTCATACAAATGTTTGCTGGACACAGATTTTTTTTGTCTACATCACAAATAGTGAGGGGACTTTTTAAGAACCCCAAATCTGTGTTCCCAAGCATGGTCTGAAATAGGAGAACCTTGAACTTTCGTGTGAATCACTATAACCTGTGAAATTTATTTAAAAAAGAAGTGGGATAAATAGGCTGAACACAGAGGATTTTTAGGGCAGTGAAACTATTCTGTATGATACTATCATGTCCTTAAACATTTGTTCAAACTCCTAGAATGTACCACACTATGAACCCTAAAGTAAACTATGGATTTGGGTGGTGTGTCAATAACTGTTCATCAATTTTAATGAATGTAACACTCTGGTGGGAGATGTTGATAAAGGTGCAGGTGTGGGGGTAGCAGGCATATGGGAAAACTCTGTACCTTCCACTAGATTTTCCAGTGAACCTAAAACTGCTCTAAAAAATAAAGTCTATTAAGAAGAAAATGGAGGTGCTATGACTCTCTCTTCAGAACTTATATTTCAGTGTCCGTGGGCCCCTCCCTATGTTTAGCAAGCTTCCACAGTAACTTTTACATGTTCTTGTTCTAAGAACCACTGATCTGGAATCTGGTCTCACTGTACCTCTGCGATGCTGAGGTCAGGTCACACAAGATACAGTTGGCTCACAGCATTTTCCAGATCAAAGGTACCTAATATTCAGTCTGTTCTGATCCAGAATGAGGCTAGCCTTCTTAAAAAGGAAAGCCCAATTTTAAGACCCAACATATTTGTCATCTGGATTTTGATGTTACTTCGAGAACTCAGCTTAAACCAGTTATTTGAGGTCAGAAGCAAATAAATTAATTCTGAATTTATAGGCCCACAGAAGAATATTTCTTTTAAAAAGAGGTCTTGGGGGTGGCTCAGTCAGTTGAGTGTCCGACTTCAGCTCAGGTCATGATCTCACAGCTCATTTGAGCCCCGTGTCAGGCTCTGTGCAGACAGCTCAGAGCCTGAAGCCTGCTTTGGATTCTGTCTCCCTCTATCTCTGCCCCTCCCCGACTCATGCTCTGTCTCTACTCTGTCTCAAAAATAAATAAACATTAAAAAATAAAATAAAATGAAGTCTTAACTGTACATGGGTCTAGGAAGAAGCTAAAAAAAACTAAGGACAGCTTCTATCAAGATGTAAAATAATATCCAGCCCTAAAAAATTGAGTGAGACATAGGCAAGTAGAGAAAAGATAGAAAAATAGCTTTATAAATCATTTCTGATGAAAAAAGTCCTTGAAGTCCCATGATGATTGTACAAAAACATTCCCTGTAAATGCTTTTGGCAAAAGCCAACATGTTTTGAAAGTATTTAATTGTTCATGAATATCTTTAATTAATCTCCATAACTATTGAGCTTGAAACTAAGTAGCAGATTTAGGACTCCCCTCACCACCAGATTTGTTGTACTGTTTATATGATTCAGAGATGAGATGGTAACAAGACTATTGAGTTACTATAGAGAAAACAGCACTTAAGTGAGCTTTGTTGGTGGTCCATTTAGACAGATGGCTTACAGTTTCCAGAGCTTTTGTGCTTTCTTTAAATAAATACCTCCAACACTGGGGGGGAGGGGGGCCTGAAAAGAAAGGTGGTTAACTTTTTCATTGTGCCAATGATTTATTATTTATCTAAACTTATAACTTGCTGGCTTTATTCAAAGGGCTGGTTAAAATTGCACAATACCAGGTAATCTATAACCTCTCTATAATATAACTGTATGAAGGACACTGAGGTAGCTAATTCATTATAGTCTTAGAATGGATTTGCTGCCTTTTAGTTTTATGTATTGGTCTGTTTTTCTTGATGATTCTGTTATTCCTCTGACTTTTGCTAGGGCCACTCTTCAGATATGGACATGTCTACAGAAATGACTTTTTAGAAATGTTTACTACTATGTAAATACGCTAAATGTATCCATGAAACTTACTTGATTTCTATAAGCATTATACTTTGAATTTCCATTTTTGGGGCAAATGATTGAAATCCAAATTCATAAAATCCTAATTTCTCATTCGCCTAATGTATACATTTTGTTAATTAATTCATATAAAGGAATCTGAAATACAATACAATGCTTCTCCATCAACAGGTCTCTATGACGGAATAATGGTGTGAGGATTGTTACCCCTAGAGTAAGATATTTTTACAAATCACAATAGGACAGTTGGCCAAATGCATGGAGTTTGTGAAGGACAACATTTCTCCTGCTTATTTTATAGACTATTTTATTTCACTCTTTCCCTTTCTTTCTTTCTTTTTTTTTTTTAAGCACGATCAATCATCAAGCAGAAAGAACTTGACAAGTTCTCTTGAACAAAAGATAAGGTGCTTGGAAAAACAGAGAAAAGAGGTAATTTACAAACATTAGTTGAAACAACATGTATCATGAGTTAATGCTGAGAATAAAATAGAGTTATTTTTGTCACTGGGTCACACTATTTATCTCTAGGATTTTGGACTGCATTACTTTGAGAGCAAGTGCTTTTTTCTTATTCACCTACACTTCTTTTACCCAGACTCTCAGTGTTTGTGTAAATGAATGAAAAGTGACAAAGTCATAAATCCAATAATCATAATCTTAATTTTTCTCAAAACTTAGATGTTTTTTCCATGGACTATGTGAGCGTATCACATGTGCCTTATGCCTTGCAACTTGACATACCTGGAAACTCAAACTGTGAAAGCCTTTAAGTGTAATTGACTTAGGTGCTATGACTTCATGAACTGAGTATCCAACCACATAGGCGTTAAGTATTATTAAAAATTTTTTTTGTTTATAAAATGCCATTAGGAATGTGATGGATATTATTATGAATTCTGTTTTTCTGAGTTTAATGAATGTTAGAACCTATTTATTCTTCTTGAAGACGAAGAAGTGAAAAGTGTAACAATTTTAGCACATGAATGTTGTCAATTTTTAATTTCCTTTCCTAAACCATTATATATGTTATATCCTTCATGTTCTTCTGTATGGTCCCTTCTACTCCTCTTTGATATTGCATAAAATTATTGTATCCCTCTGGAAAATTACTGAACTATAGCAGGATAATGTTACCAATGCCAAGTGATCAGATATCTTTATATAATAATGTAATATAGTTTATACTAAAACCCATATCTCTTTCCAGCATAAGATTTACCTACTGACTGCCTGTCTGGATTAGATATTTTGTTTTATAATTAGGAGAATATATTGCTTCCTTTTAGTCATTGTAACTATCTTCTTGATCTCTGTCCCATATTGAAAGTGTTGGAATTTCTCTTTATGTAGGAAGTTACAGACTTCCCCTACAAGAAAACTAAAACACAGGTCATAGTGTATTTTCTTCCTTTCATTTAGCACATAATTTTAATGCTTCTAAATTACTGTCAAAATTATTTCTAAATATTCTTATGATAAAACTATTATTCCTTGAAAATCTACACTTTCAAAAAGGTGATATGCCTTCATGCATACACATTACAAATCATGTGTTGATTTTTAAAAGCACAATATTACAAGCACATGATGATAAGTTATTGGTATTTGGAAGTTGTTAATATAAATCCTGCTGTGGAAAAGCTGGAAGAAATGTTTCTTTATAATAATCAATGTAAGCACATAGAAAAATATGGAAAGATTTGAAAAAAAGACCCTTCATATATTAATAAATCTTATAGAAAACCATTCATACTCAAAAAGTTCTACCAGATTGATTGGGTTAATCAATGATGAAAATTTCAAATGACTAAGCACAGATGAAAGTTGCTAATAAACGGTTCATCTGACGAGTCAAGATGTACCTAAGACTAAAAGGTTTTTCATATGTGAGCCAGTTATGAAAATAAGGAAAGTGTGCTCAATTCAATTATCCCAGCCCTATAAGAACTTGGTGGAAGGAATACTGTGTTCAACCATGGCTTGCCAAATCTTACTAGCCCCCCCCAAAATGATTTCATTTTGGCCCAATTTCTAAGTGGGCAGAAATCCATATTGATTTACCAAATTTTAATAATTTCAGCTCCTGGAAGTTAACCAGCAATGGGATCAGCAATTTAGAAGTATGAAAGACTTATATGAACGAAAGGTAAACACCTCTCTGTTTAGTATTTGCTTTAGATCAGTAAGCTGGAGCACCAAGTCTGTGAAGATTCTCACTGATTTCAGCTGAAGGATTCATGTGGCTAGCCAACTGCTGAAAAATGATGGGGTAGGGGGAAGGTGCTGAGTGCATTATTGGTCTCTTGATACTGAAGATTAATGAAGGATATCAGCGAATTATCTTGAGCATGGTAAAAAAAAAAAGGTACTAAAAATAGCTTCTAGACATTAGAGATGTCTCTAGAGCTCTTAGGCACATTCATTATAGCTCACGGATTATCCTGTTTTGGATTTGTTACTCGCAGTCATAAATACACAAGGTTATATGTGAGGTAAGAGATGGCTTAAAGTTCATACTGTTTTATATAAGGCTATTTCTCTAATTCTTTAATTAGATACCATCAGCTATTTCCACAGATAAAGAAGTAAACAATGGTAACAGTGAAAGTGTGAGGGAGAGTGGGGCATTCCCTCCTCCCCCTAAAGTATGTTCTCTGTCAAGAATCTTTTGCTTTGATGAGAAAGAACTTTTTGGAGAGAATATCTTTTAATAGGTAAAGTCAATTTGTAATTTAAATTATTTTACTTTAAAAAAAAGGAGAAAGTAAATTCCCCTAAATAATTCAGAATTAAGAAACTTGACCACAAGTGAGTAATAGAGCAGTGTTGCTCTCTTCTTCCCCATTTTGATACACTGAAGTATTGATTTTAGTAAGTGCAGGATAATGTTCCCAATACACCAGGCCTGTTATATTCAGTCTGGGGCAGCTTTTGGGTCTCCAAATTTTAAAGTACCTGGTCCCAAAGAAAATGTGGAAGCTGCTCAGGAAGAACGGCTTGCAGGTGTGTGAAGACCCTGAGTTAACAATGGGCATAATTCCCATTTTTGATGAGGCACCCTTTTCTAAGGCCTCTCTTACTGTATCGTCATCGCTCTGAGGACTAGCTTGGCATTTCGTAGAGGGTCAAGCATTGCAAATTATTGAGAAAGTAAATGCCATGTCTGTTTTTCTCTGGCCCAGGCATATTCACTTACCCCCTAATCCCTGGATACCCATTTCAGGTCAGGAAAGTCACATTTTGAGAGTTAGGAATAGAATGACAGGCCCAGAAGCGTCCCCGTCTAAGATATAAATCTTCATTCTCTCGGAAGCGGTGTGGTTTGCAGAAAGGAGGGAAGGGGCTGAAGGCTGTTTCGGTGTTTACTTTTTCCGGTAGCGGAAGCTCTTTCCCAAGTGCACAGGTTCTGACCTTTGCTAAGGCTGGTGGGAAACAGAACCTCTCCTTGGGGGCCGCCCAGGAGTGGGGGCGTGTCTGTCCCTGAGGGCGCGGGGTGGGGGAATAAATCCGGCCGCGGGAGGGGGCGTGAATTTCAGAAGCAGTGTCTGCCACATTGTGTATACGACTTCCTCAGGTCGCAGAGCTGAAAATGAAACTGGACGCCGCAGAAAGATTCCTCAGCTCGCAGGAGAAAGAGCTGCTTCAGAGTCAGAGAGAGAGCGACCGGCTTCACGACCAGACCCGCCAGCTGCTGCAGCGCGAGGAGGTGGGAGGGGCTCGGGGAGGCGGGGCCTGAGCACACTAGGCGGACAGTGGTGTGGCGGGACGGGTGTGCGCGTGGGCGGGGACGGGTGTGCGCGTGCGCGGGGACTGCTGGGCGCCGAGGAGGATGGGTTACGCAAGTCCAAGTCCTGGGGGGTCGCAAAGAAGGGCTAATTCTCTGCGATCAGGAGGGAGACGTCCTGCTGGCTTTGCTTCCTCTTTTGTTGTCCAAATGGGCAGGCCTTTGCGCCTGGCACTACCCTGGAGACAGAGTAGGGAGAGGGAGCTGGAGTAGGGAGTAGGGAGAGCTGATCCATAGATTTGGTGCCGTCTTCCTAGAGCATTTCAGCCTAGGAGAAGTTTAATTTTACCCTTTCGCTTTTACTTATAGATATAAGTATATATATAAGTTATACTTATATATTATATATATTATACTTATATATTATATATATTATAAGTATAAATATATATATTTATATTTATATAAGTATATATTTATAATTATATAGATATCTATATAATAGATATAATTTTTATTATGAGTGTTAATCATAATGGGACAATACCTTGTGTTTGTACAGCTGCTTTTGAGCTTACAGCGTTTTACAAATAGGTATTGCGTTTGTAATCCTAAAAATAAAACATTTAAAAAACTGTCTCACCTTCATGATCTCATTTAAAATTCTCAGCCCATCTGTGAGGGAAATAGTATTTATGCCATTTTTTTTTTTTAGTTTATTTATTTTAAGAGAGACAGCGTGAGTGGGGGAGAGAGAGAGAGAGAAAGAGAGAGAAAATACCAAGCCGACTCCACACTGTCTACGCAGAGCCTGATGTGGGGCTCAGTCCTAGGAATCAGGAGATCATGACCTGAGCCAAGATCAAGAATCCCATGCTTAACCGACTGAGCCACCCAGGTGCCCCTATTTTTGCCATTTTAAAGCTGAGATGTGATGAGGTTATAAGACTTGCTAACCTTACCAACCCTGAGAAAATGGAACTTGAACCCAGCCTCCAGATTCAAAATCTCTGAATCTCCGTTAATCCCCCCTGAGAACAAGATGGTGGCCATTAAGATGACAGACAGGCTTCTAAAATACTCTCAGGTTTACTTAGTTATGAGACTTATGCATATTGTAGAAAATGGGAGGAAAATCTTAAGCTCTAATGGCCGATCATTTTTTTATGTATGTTAAGAAAAAAACAAGAACTATAAATAGTCTCAGGTGAAGTGACAGATATGAAGCCTTGGCTGCATTTTAACACGTGCGCCAATCTTAAGGCAATGGCTGAAATCAGTGCAGACAGCCATTGGTGTAGGTTTTCTTATCTTGATAAGGCTATCTCTGTCCCAGTGAGTCAGAGGAAAACAACCAAGGTTTAGCAACTCCCTTCTGGCCCTATTGTAGTCCTTTCCTTTTCCTGACTGGGAATCATGGCAATTATTCCCTCATGCAGTTGGAACCATCTTCTATTTGAAGTCATTTTTAAATTATGCCAAATTAGAAAATGATTGGTTCATTTTCCAAGCGTATATAAGCCCATTCTATTTAAGTAAAAGCAAATAAGAATATTTTCACTTAAAAAAAAGAATCGCCTCACATGGATATCTTTTTAAGAAAAAAGTTTTTAACACTTATTTTTGAGAGCGAGAGAGAGATAGAAGAAGAGATCATGAGTGAGGAGGGAGGGGCAGAGAGAGAGGCAGACAAAATCTGAAGCAGGCTCCAGGCTCTGAGCTATCAGCACAGAACCCAACATGGGGCTTGAACTCAGGAATGGTGAGATCATGACCTAAGCTGAAGTTGGATGCTTAACCAACTGAGCCACCCTGGCACCCCACATAGATATCTTAATTATTGTTTTGGGAAATATTAATTACTAAAACAACATACTCTAACATGTATATTAGCTATTTTCTCATCTTGATTTACCTAAATTCTGGACTATTTGTTTTACTAAGTTAAAATTTAAATGCCATTAAGAATTGAGTTCATTCCAGGGGTGCCTGGGTGGCTCAGTCATTAAACATCTGACTCTTGACTTCATCTCAGGTGATGATGTCAAGTTTGGTGGGATTGAACCCCACATCATGCTCTGCGCTGACAGTACAAGGAGCCTGCTTGGGATTCTCTCTCTCTTCGCCCCTCTCCCACTTGTACACCTGAGTTCTTTCTCTCTTGCTTTTTAAAAATCAATAAAACTTAAAAAAAAATTCAATTCACTCCACAAAAATTTTATTATCTAAAATATAAAATTAAGAATTAGAAGATAGATTTTGTCTGAATCTAGAGCACTTTAGTGTCAAGGCAACTAACTTTGCTTCAGTAATTTAAAACAGAGGACTTCTTGAAGGTAATCTGAAACATGGAGGAGTGATGGCACTTGGACTTTTTGAACTCTCCCTTTTAAAAGCAACAATCACAACAATACAGTTCTCTGAATAATTATCTGTAGGGAAGGGTCTTATTTGCCTGAAGTTTTATCCTCTTTTCCCTCTCTTCAGTTCAGAATGATGCAGGCAGGATTGGTCTTTGAGATATTTCATATTTTTTGTTGCAATCTACTATTTTTTCTTTTTAAAATTTAAATTACTTTTACTAAGTCACTTACCCATCGCTCTGAACAGTACATGGGACCTTGCTTATTCTGTGAACCCATTTGACCCTTGAACATGAGGAATGGGGATTTTGAGCTTTTTCTGGGGTCATGAAACTTAGTAGCACTAAGGATTAAAGAAAAAATTTTTTTTTCTATCTGAACCCTGTCCTCCACCCAGAGAATATTGCTTAAATGGAATGTCAAGAGGTGCCTGGGTGGCTCAGTCCTTTAAGCATCCGACTTCAGCTCAGGTCATGATCTCATGGTTCGTGGGTTCGAGCCCTGCATTGGGCTCTGTGCTGACAGCTCAGAGCCTTCTGATTCTATGTCCCCCTCTGTCTCTGTCCCTCCCCCCCCTCTGTCCCTCCCCCTCTCATGATCTGTCTCTCTCAAAAATAAATTAAAAACAATTTTTTTAATGGAACGTTAAATGAAAATCTAAAAGGTCCTGTTTTTATTGTATTTCAGAAGTATTCCTACAATATTATCTCATCTGAATTTTATTGATTTCGGTTTTGTTTTCTTGCTATTTACTTCAGAAGGAAAAGGAGAGCCTAAGTGAAGAATTACATGAATTGAAGAAAGAAAATAAGCTTTTGAAGGAAAAACATGCTCTTGTGAGCAAGAAGAAGGAACATTATGAATGTGAAATAAAGCGCCTCAATAAGGTACCAAGCCAGATCAAGCTGGGCAGTGGGAAGGAGAGGTCCCTGTAGAAAGAGTATGTTCTTAACTGAGAGTCACCACAAAATCTGTGCAGCAGTACAACTCCTGTTCTTGGGAGCCTGCACTGGACCTTCTCTGTAATTTTATAAGTCACTCGTAGCTCATCGTTCAGTCTTTCTTGGCTGAGGAGGCTTTCAGGAATACGTGTCCCTGCAAAGAATCATCATGAAAAAGAGAAATGAGGAGTAACTTCAGAAGACAGACCTTTTTTTTAGTTCAAAGAACCACGTAAAGCAAGTGGGTGTTTGTGAACAATAGCATACCTCTTGGTCAACCGCAAAAGTTTCCTGAGGAAACAGGCTGCTCTTTAAAATCATCATTGTGGAGCTGGGTATGATGCAGAGTATATGGAACCATGCTAAATGCCAGCCCCAAGGCTGAGATGGTGGTCTTCCAGAGAATAAGCCTAAACCTCAGTTTTAATTAGAGTGTGGGGTCCCCTGGACGGGGTGGGGGGGTAGGTGTGCTAAAAAGACACAGTGGTTAAGTGCCTTGGCTTCAACTTAACTGTTCAAAAGGGCTACCTGTGGAGTGCTGCCAAAGGATGGCTCTAGAGAATTTGTGCATTTGTGTGTGTGTGTGTGTGTGTGTGAGAGAGAGAGAGAGAAAGAGAGAGTGTTTTATGGATGGAGAGCTTAATTTTCCTGGGAAAGGGATTGCTCACCTATTCAAGTTAACAATTAAATCCTTCGCTCTGATTTTTCAAAGGGCCACATCAGATGTGGACCATAGGAGTACTTGTAGTACATGTTTGAGTTGAGATAGTAATCCCTCAAGTTAGATATTTCTTGACCAAAGTAACAGAAATTGCCTTCTAAAACAAGAGTAGATGATTGGCCTTGAAAAAGTGCTCAATGACTGTGGATTTTGGACTGTGTATCTTTTTGTTAACTAGGGTTCAGAGGATCATTTAAAGATCCCCACAGGGTTGAGTATGTGCCTGTATAATTGACAGAATGCTTTACAAATGTGATGCTGTATTTGATCTGTTTGTGGGGCAAGTTACTGGTCAGGAGAAAATGGAAAAGTGGAGACTAACTTCATAGGCAACGCACTTCTCTATGCTTTAACAGAGGAAAACAGTGTTCAGAGATACAAATTTAGAGCAAATAAATTTCCTCTTTTATCCTGTTGGAAATCCTCCACAGATGAATTAGAGGAACTAATGTTGATTATGTTTGAAATCTTTCCCGCTTGTGATATATTATTTGATTAAGTTTTCTTCTGCTCTCTAATTCATTTCTGTAAATGTTGGCACAAGAATATACTCCCTATAGAAATTAGAACAGCCATGAACTCTGTTTGTTTGCTCCTGTTTGTGTGTACCCTTCATTTTTGTGTATCTGTATTTATAGTCAACACAATGTTTTCAGTTAGTAGAAGTTGTTTAACTCTTGTGATTATAATAAAATTGAGAAAATGAGAGACATTAATTTGAGTAAAATTCAGGCCTTTATACAAATGTCACCTTCTTGAAGAGGATTTTTCTGGCCGCCCTAATTAAAATTATATATTCCATTTCTGATAATTCTTACTTTAATGTTTCTTTGGAATTTATTGCTATCTAACATATATTTAATGTCTCATATTAACTACCATATTTGTTTCCTGTCTCCCAATCTTGATTGTAAGCTCCATGACGGTGGGAATGCACAACTGACTTCTCTATTTGGCATAGTAGGCACAGTATTGAGGGCTCATAATACTTTTAGTGGTCTATTAAATTGTTTAATTTCTTCCAAAATCTGGGGAAAAAAGGACCTTTAGGTCAAAAAACATTTACATATTAATATTAAATATATTCATCTTTGTAAGAATTCAGTTAGAAAATATAATTTTAATATGCATTTATTTGGAGGAATGGACTCACAACTACAACAGTGTAGCCTAAATTTTTCTAATTTTTCATTGCTGTATTTTGGATGCCAACAATAGGGCCTTGCTCACAGTAAATTCTTAAATATTTATTGAATGGATGAATTAATTAAATAATTTAGCTAGTATATAATATGTTCAATAGCCAATTCTGGCCCCAAGATTCATGCCTTAGCAGGCATAACACATTACTTATGAGTATTAAAAAAATATAATAAAAGGATACTTCAACCCAGATGTACTTCCACTACATCTATGCCTTAAAATATCATTTAAAAAGCATAGATCTAAAGTGATGAGCTATGAAAACTTTTTTTCTCATTTAGTAAATGTATTAATATCTAAGGAAATATAAGAAATTACTATTCATATATACATACACTGTAGATTTCTTTTTCTCTTCTCTTACCACTGGAATAAATAGAAGTTATCAGAATGTTGATTTGAGTAGTTGATTGTGCACACCATCCGTCACAGCTGGGATTCAGGGCCCACCCTACTTGCACTAGCAGACGGTTTGTTGACCCATTCATGCAGCAGAAATTTGTAGCATGTCAGCTCAGTAATTAACATATGGTTTTCAGAAGTTCACACAACTCTGTGTACTCAATTCAGCTTATTTGCTTTGAAGGAAATACCCAAGGGCATTGTTTTCGAGTTCTTGAAAAGAAGCCAGATGTTTAACCAAAGTGAGAGAAATTACCTGAGGCTAGTCAGCCAATGCCACCCCTGGGCAAAATTGATTTGTCCAACATCTCACCATTCTGAGATGGGTAGATCTGTTTAGTATGCCTGTGCTGACAGTAAATTACTACTCTAGAATAAATTACAGGTATTTGTTCAAGGAAATTAAAAAAACCCAAGGTGGAATAAATGTCTATTAAACTCACCTTTCAGTTATGACTCATTTGAAGATTTTCTAGAAGCCTGAAGAGCATGAAAGGTAGATCAGGAAATTCAAATATAACAAGACCCACAAAAATAGTCTGTTCATAGGTGTAGAATATGAAATTGGGATATTTGATTGTCTTTAACTCATTTGGCTCACCCCATCCTAGATTTTCTCCACTTTTAAAAATTATAACTAATATACTACTTCCTAAAACTATGTAGCTTAGCAACAAATTCTAACAAAACATAAATTATGAAACAGCTTTTGTTGTTTCTTTAAATTCTTCTTGGAGGAAGAAAAAAGTTCTTGTTTCTTTTACAACTTCCTGAAAAATGATATTTACATTAGACTAGACAGTATCCATAGATTATAAACACATTCTATTAGGAAATTCCTAGCCTTCCTACAATATTTAACACCATAACTTTGCTTTGCTTTTCCTACTTTTATGATCATATCATAGAGTAATGTGGGAAAGAAAGTTATGAATAGTATCATCAAATGAACATCATTGAAGCTACTAAAGAAATTCAGAGGAAGTGAAGTCTTGGAGTTCTGAAAGCGAAACTTTTCTGTTTGCATAAACGACTCTTTTGATAATGAGCAAGCAGTCATATTGTATGTGGGCTCTGAGACCACACCAGGATGAGGTGTGTTGTGTCTTAATTTTGGTGGCTGTTTCATTGAACTCGATCATGAACCAGGGTCTTCTGGATAGAAAGAATGTATTCTATGTGATCTGACAAAATATAGGATATGTAAGGTATTATAGTCTAGTGAATAATGATGGTTATCTTGTTGGCAAATCTAAGAGACTCTTGTTTCCTTCACCTCCTCACCCCATGGTGAAGCCACTAAGTTGTACTGGATGTCAAGAAAGCAGAGCTTCTCTGCACCCTGTAGTGAGTTACTGAATGTTTTATTAGAGAATAAATATGACGATGGCTAAGTCAGGGCGTTATGTACTGAGAAGGACAGTACAATAAATCTAAAGAATAGTGATCTGCATGGGTTCACATTTCTGTGGGTTTCCTTCCCTCCTATTGGGGGCAGGGCTGTAGAGCACAATATCACTCAAAATGTCATCTGAGGCCAGCAACATCAGCTTCTGAGAAATGCATATTCTCAGACCCTCTCCTTAGATCAACTGATTCAGGGTCTCTGGGGATAGTGCCCAAGGATGGGCATGTTTGCTACCTCTGCAGATGATTCCGATACTCTAACGTTTGAGCATTATTGATAGTGTTTGACTGAAGCAGAAACTCTGAGAAGGGCTATTGATATGTTTTCTTTTTGTGGTTGGCTTTGTGGAGGGGGACATCCCTGACATCAGTATCAAAATTCCTCATAAATAACAATGACAGTGAAATAACATAAGCATCATCATGGAGAAAAGACAGATTCTGAAAAAAAAATTGTATGCTAGAAAATGAGAAGAAAGTGGGCACCTGGGTAGCCCAGTAGGTTAAGCGTCTGACTTCAGCTCAGGTCATGATCTCACAATTTGTGGGTTAGGGCCCCGTATCAGGCTCTGTGCTGACAGCTAGCTCAGAGCCTGGAGCCTGTTTCAGATTCTCTCTGACTCTTCCCTGCTCACGCTGTCTGTCTCTCTCTCCCAGAAATAAATTTTTTAAAAAATTAAAAAAAAAAAAAAGAAAATGAGAAGGAATGAAAGTTATTCAGCCATAAAAGTGGCATCAAAAATGGAGTTCTATCTTGGGGGGAGGCATTTGAGATAATTCCAACAGTGCTAGAAGAATTTTTAAGATGTGGTAACTCTGAATTCAGTGGTTTGCTTATCTTATAACATAGGCTCTTCAAGATGCCTTGAAAATCGAGTGTTCTTCATTTCCTGAGGAATGTTTGGGAAAGTCAGAACTGGAGTGCAGACATGAGGAGATAAGAACAGAAATGGAAGTTCTCAAACAGCAGGTGAGAAGTTGAAAGTGGCATTATCATGTGGAGAACACAAGGACCATTGTTCGTGCTCCTTTGGACAGTTTTGGAAGTCTTTCTATTCAAAATGTGTCCAAAGTTTTTGCATTTGTTTTCATTAGAATTATTTAATTTTGAAGCTTGATAAGAGAATATACATCAGCTAGCCCAACTTTCACTTTATAAAAGAGGGAATTAAATTTCAAATGGGTTAAATGGCTTGTCCAAGATCATTCGGTTAAAAGAAGGACTTCCTAATTAACCTTTTTGGTGAGATTTAATTAGCACCAGTCTAGAGAAATTTTTGTAGACATGATTTATTTTGAAAACACTATTAACCCAAACCCTGGACCTTCTCAGCAAATGATAGCAACCACACTGTTATTCTGTAGCCACTGCTTTCCATGCCTTTGAATGATGGGATTAGTTTTAAAGGGAATATTCTGCACTGAATGTAATCTCTGAAGAGCCAGATCTGCTCATATACCACAGCATATGGATGGCACCACCTAGCAGTGTACTGATTCACTTCGTCTTCCTCCTCCCCACTCGCCCAACCTCACTCCATGTCACCAAGTGGAGAGAAGAGTAAACGAAGCTTTCTCTAAGCTTCTATATGTATCAGCAACATAGGGCTATGGGCACATAGCACTGCCTAACCTATCTGGGCCTAAATTTAGTTCAGCCACCTGGAGCCGGCTTAGCTAAGTGGCCACCCATGCACATCCCATCTCTTTTCTTGTAGAAGGTTAAATAAACTAATGAAGGTAAAGAGCTGGAACAGTTCATGGCGATGTCAATAAATACAGGATACATATTAGGAATTCTAATCTCTGAAGCACACATTGTCAGTAATATATTAGCAATGGGAGAGAGGATATTATGTAACAAAGAGCTGGGAAGTATGTCCCTGGAACTGATTTGTAGACTGTTTTGCTCTGAGCAAGGCCATTTACAAGGATTCTTGATGTAATACACCAAAGAATTAAGCAATTTTATTATTGTTGTTGTTGTTTGCTGTTATTATTTCATAGGAAGTAACCTATCTGTAAATCTAAAAAATTCAGAGCTCTTGATGTTAAGGTTGTATTTTTTCTTATGTCAACCCCATTTGAATAACCTCCCTCATTACATTCAGGATCAAATACACAGTTTAAAATAAGCCGATGAAGAGAATAAGGGTAGTATTCAGAGTGTTAAAGCTCTGCCAAATTCTCAACCCCTAAAGTACCATTGGCACTAGCCAGGATTCCTCTGAAAAAAATTACTTCTTATGTTCGGACACTTGAATCATTTTTGATGCTCTCACATAATGTATCCCACATGCAAGTGAGTCACTCTTACACATGCATAGAGTTTACAGCAAGGGTTTAGCTCATATTGGATGCAGACGATGGCAGGTATCCTTTTTTTCATTATCCCCAAGAGGTCTAGAATCCATCTTCTTAGTTTTTCTGTGGCTCTTTTGCTAACTTTATGTATACATATTTTAACTGTGCACACTTCTATTTGCTCAGCCACAATCACTATATCACCAAGTGTCACGTGATACACTAAAGGAGTTAAATTCACAAAGAAACTGATTTAGAATCTTGGCCACCTGATTAACGTGATGACATCGCTATCATATTGTATTTGATAAAGAGGGTTCAGTTCTGATCAGATGAGCTTCTCCCATTTCAATTGCCTCTGGTAATTGTTTACAGAGCATTAGTTTGACTATGTCTGGAATTGAGCCTCAACCCTTAACTAAAACCAAAACCAAAACCAAAACAAAATGTCAGCTTAGCTGGGTGTAGTTCCCTTACAATGTTTCTGGTGAATAAAGCCTTAAAAATTAAATGTGTATGTCTTCATCTAGATCTAAATACAATGTTTGATTTCATCCTCTCTTGCTTAATAAATATTCTGCTCTATTATTATTGACCTTAATAAACCTCTAGTTAAAATGTGCTGCATTATTGGTGATGAAGGTGCGGTGCTCATTAATACTAATAGACAGAAATCTAGCTACTAAGTTCCCATGTAAGTTATACTTTAACTTATTGTCTTGAATGAATTCCTTCCTCCCTAAACTTCATTTATTTTCATAATTCCACATACTAGTCTCCAAGCCATCACTCAACACTATGCCAATTACAAACAATAATGATTAAATTAGTTTTTCTTTTGGTTTGATTGCTTTTCTGGAATATTTGGAGTATTTCTTGAGAGGTACTCCAAAAGATTACAATGTTTTTTTTTTTTTTTTTAAATGATGTACCTCCAAAATTACTGGGGCAAATTGTGAGTACCTTTTAACAATCATGTTTTGTTTTTCCACATACATGAGCCTTTCATTTCTATCTTGTGTTCAACTTATTATTATATTTGGAAACTAGCATGCCAGTATTTAGTGGTTTCACTTAAGGGTATTGTCAGTAAACTGTCTGTTCAAACTTTAAGCACCCTTTGTACATCAAAGCCTTGTGTTAGGGATGGACGACTTGCTCCAAAATAGTGATACTTAACACTGGGGGGGGGAGGGGGGGAAGATACTCATCACAATAAGGAAATATGCAGCAGAATAATGGGGAGAATAATGGGTGAGGGGAATTGTTTTTTCAAAATACAGATGTTGTTACTTTACTTCTGAATTCCTGACACATACTCAAGGAGGAAAGTTGATAACTACCATTCTAAACAAAGCGAGAGATAAAGTTATGGCCATATTCATTGGAATAGAGTCTCACCGTGAAAAACTATTCATTAAGAGGATAAGATTTACTCAGACTGGACAAACCCAGATAATAACTCTTCTGAAATCATTTAAATGGCTTAAGAGAAAAGGATGCTCACAGTAACAGCAAATCAATATTTCCTAGGTGCAAATATATGAAGAAGACTTCAAAAAGGAACGATCAGACCGAGAAAGACTTAATCAAGAGAAAGAGACTCTACAGCAAATTATTCAAACTTCTCAATCCGAGTTGAATAGGCTGAATTCTCAGGTATCAGTCAAAACAAAAATAATCTTTGCCAGCTCATGCGTATTTTTTTTTATTTTTTCATTAAAAAATTTCAAGACTTTGGCTTCTGTTAATTGACATTGATTTTCTTTGAGAGGAAAGCACCTGGGATGAAATCATTCTTAAACAATCTTGTAAAGGAATGAAAATGATTGGAGATTTCTTTTAACTTAAATATATTAAGGAGTAACCTAAGAATTTGGATTCCAGAGTCTTGTATAAAGTCCAGTTCTTCTGATCTTTTTCTCATAATATTTATCTTGGTAGAATGGGAGTTGAACCACCTAGTACTCACAATTCAAATCCAAAATGGACCAGCGCATTGAAGTTGTTCTAAACTCTTGTCATTTTCTGGTCTTCTAAAAACATACATATCTTTAAATGTCATTCATATATATAAAATATAGTGAAACTGAGAATTTTGTTTGGTGGCTTCCCTGATTAAATGTGACTGGAGCACTCTCAAGGAAACCACATAGCGTTCTCCGGTTTATTGAAATAAAATATATTAAATATAAGCATATAACAATTAAATGCAATAGGATACATTAAGAGTAGACTCAGGAAGTTGCCACAATGGGTAAAGATTGCTGTTAATGAGGAAAATGCAGCTAACACAACTTTGGTTTAAGAAAAGAACCACAGAATTTTTGATTTGCAAAATCATCCAGTGCTTTTCAGTAAATAGGAAATTGTTGCGGGACATGCTGTGACAGCTCTGGAGCTGCAAGATTTTTAGTCTCCAAAGAAATTTTTAACTATTTGTCATCTCCTTCTTCCTAATAGAAAGTATATTGTGAATTAAATTTAATTTCTGATGTTTTTTCAACTTGAAGTTCTTAATTTTCCATGCAAAAGTTATTTGGCAGAACTATTTTCTAAGAAATGGAAAGGAATAAAATAGTGGTAAAAATATAATAAAATGCTTTTGTGAAAATAGTTCAGTCCTGATTACTTTCAATGAGGAAATCAGTCTGAATTTGTATGCCTTACATGCAGAACTCCCTTAATTTGTTCTAAGTTGTCACTGCACAAGTTATTTTACCTCCAGCCATTTTAACTTGATTCATTCTACCATATTAAGCTCAGACTGATGATAAATTTGTGTCTGACATTGGCACTGTCCTTGCCATTGTAGAAGTTCTAGTGCGTCCAGGAACATATAACCATCTAATTATATAGACTAATCCAGAGGTAATTTTCATTTCTGTGTCATCTGCAAACTAAGTTTTTTGTTGATATAACAAAATAATGCATTGTCTACATACAGTTTGGGGTAATTGTGTTAATGAACTAAGGATAATCTTAATGATATCTTGAAACTATCATTATTTCTTTAAATAATGATAGTCCAAAGATTTACTTTTCACAAGTCTCACTCTGGTAAAAGGATAGTAGAGTTCACAAGGCGAAGTAGTAGATGGCTTAACAATCTCTGTTAAATGTATTAACAGCAGATTAAATGCCATGATATAATAATAGAATTGGCATGATGTTATTTGAATAACATAATATCTGATCAAATGGGCCATTTAACCAAGAAATAATTTTTTAGGTCAAATCACTCTGGCACTAGTTGTTTACATACCAGAGTTTATTCATTCTATCACTAAGGATATTTTAAGCCCATGACTGGTAAAATAAAAGTGTGGTGAAGGGCAAGATACTTAGAGATACTTAGGAGTAGGAGAAACTTAGGGGTAAAATCTTTGTGTTTGTGCCCGCTTTGACAATCAGGAATGACACTGAGCAAGTTCTCCAACTTTTCTATGCTTCCTTTTCTTCATCTGTAAAAATGACAAAGTTGAACCAGATGATCTCTAAAATATTTCTTATGATTCTAAAAGCTCTATTGCTAAAAATAAGTTACTAAATCTCAGTATACTCACCTGTAAAATATGGATGATGGTTCCCACCTCATAGACTTAACAACATTGTTCTCAGGGTTAAATGAAAAAATCTATACAAAAATATCTAGCTCTGGTTATGGATCACAGGTATTTCATAATTGATTTTCGTCTATTGGAAGGGGAAGTTTTTAAATAGAATTTAGTTGTATAATTAACATGCCACATTTAGTTCCTTGTAATTCAATTTTGATACTTTCTTTCTGCAAGACATTTTGTTATGTACTATGAGGAAATAAAAAAAATGATCCTTGCTATTAAAAACTCACAATATAATGAGGGGGACATCTATAGTCTATCCTTATCATTTGTGAAGTCCATGTTCATGAATTTGCCTACTCACTAAAATGTATTTGTCACCCCAGAATCAATACTAGTGCCACCTGAAGTCATTTGTGGACATGCAGCGGAAAACTTGAATCACCTTATATGCTTGTTCCCAGTTGAGATCCAATAAGTCTTTGCCTCTTTGCTTCGGCTCTCAGACTGTAAAAAATGTCCTTTTCATGGTTTATTGTGTGCCACATTTTCTCATTCTTGTTCTTTTTGTTGGTTGTTTCATTGCTTAACATCGCCCTCAAACGTAGTGCTGAAGTACTACCTAGTGTTCCTCAGCACAGGAAGGCTGTGCTGTACCTTACAGAGAAAAGACATGTGTTAGATAAGCATTGTTTAGGGATTACCGTAGTGGTGTAGGCCAAGAGCTCAATGCCAATCCATCAACAGTATAAGTTAAATACTTATTTCACAGAATCATGCAAAAAACAAGATTATATATTGATCAGTTAACATAGTATGACCGGAGGCTCCTAGGAGTCTAACCTTGCATTTCCCTAGGAGCACTGGGTGGTTAGCCACTTCAGTGTTCATGGTGACTTTACAGAACATAACTCCCACAGATAATGAGAGCCAACCATGCACAGTACATATAGGACTCTAAAAAGCCACATGGAAACTGTATAATGTTAAATGGGAGGACAAAGGGAGGAGAGAATAATTCTGATAGGTGAGACTTGGAACGGTATCATTCAGTGGGGATATATGGCTCACAGGATGTGGACCACGCTGTGTAGGGATGACAGTAGCATGACTAATGAGTCAAAGAAAAAACAGCTTTTTCTCATTGTGTCATATATTGAAGGAATCCAGAGAGGGTAACTCTGCCGAATGAGGTTGGGCCTTAAATGGTGAGAAGTCATAAAGTACAGCAGTGTGACTGAGCAAGTTACTGAACATCTCATGTCTCAGTGTCCTCATCTGCAAAACCGTGGTAATAATAAGTATTACACAGAGGCACTGGGAGGATTCAGTACTGTATGGAAAGCACTTAGATCAGTGTCTGGCATGGATTAAGTATATGTACAACTTCTCACATTTATGGTGGAAGCTTTTGAATGTACAGCTGACCAGTTCCAATACATTCAATTGACAGTGAAAGTTGTTTCTGTATCTATATCTATCCCTATGTCTATTTATTTATATCTGTGTCTCAGTATATCAACCTAACACTTAGACTTACAATACTTTCAACAAATAGGAATACAGTTTAAAACTGTATTCAACTTTCCAAACTTCATTTGGGAATTTCAAGATAGAACCAATGCAGATCTGGAAAATCCCAAACTTGATTGTTTTCACTGCTGGCATTGCTGCTATCAATGCTTCACTCTGTGAGCTTTTGAGCTGGTCGCTGATGGCTGGCAAATTTTGGTGGTTCAGTCTGTTCAATGTCTGACTCTTGATTTCATCTCAGGTCATGATCTCACAGTTTGTGGGATCTAGCCCCACGATGGAATTCTCTCTCTCCCTCCCTTTCCTCTCTCTCTGCCTCTCTCTTGCATGTGCTCTTTCTTTCTCTCTGTCAAAATAAATAAGTAAACATTAAAAAAGATTGTAAAGAGTAACTTTAGAACAAACTATGTGAACTCTTTCGATAAACAAATGCCTTTGTTTTGTTCATAGATAAAAACTTGTCAGATGGAGAAAGAAAAACTCGAAAAGCAGTTAAAACAGGTACGTTGCTCCTCACTTAAAATCACCAATCTTCTTGTCATAGTTGAAATGGCAATTTTATGTTCCACCCCCATATGTATTTCCAATCACAGCAGCTCTTCATGGTTCCATTTAAAAGCATATTCAGGCTCTGCTGTAGATTGCCCAGAACACCCATGCTTTTCCTCTTCAACTAAAATGTCAGTGGATACATAAGGCTTAGGTATGACCAACGTCTCTCAACCCTAATGCACATGAAAAACACATACTTTCCAGAACATGTTAGCTGTAGCACAAGCCTTAGTGTGTATTCATGCAAATGGAGATCTCTTCATAGACCCATGAACACCTGGGAAATATATTTCCTTGGAATCTTTTGCAGCTGCTTACAAAATTTACATTTTGAAAATTATATCAAATATTTGTGCCTTTTTTTGAGAAAATACAGTATCTTATAGGGCACTGAAGCATTCTGTCCCATTGCTTCTCTAGTAGCCTTCAAGAATGAATATTATTTCCTCTTAATTCTTAATTTCCTCTCTGGACTTTAGTTATGCTATAGGAGTCTCTGGCTACAATTTAAGAACACTTGTTTTATGGCTGACTCACTGGTTCTTCTTAAGCAAAGATCCCCTGTGAAGATAACTTGGAAACATAATGTTAACTCTATACTTTTCAAGTGTTTCCAAGTTCTTCAAAATGAAAAGCTAATTAGAGTTTCACCATAGGTGAAAATTGACCCACGAGCCTTATCTATATCAGTCCAGAGTCTACATTGATATGTCTACTGTGTTGAGTTAAAATTATGCAACAGTTAGACTAAATCTTAAGACATAAGCCAAACCAGTGGCTGTATGAAGCAAGTGTCTGTGAAGTGTCAATGTGGCTCCCCAGCTTCACCTTCTCCCAGTGAACCAACAACATTGTCCTCCTCAGATGTATTTCCCAATCTGTAACTGCACCTTGAATTTCCACCTGCGGGATCCATGCGCACTGGCAGACCCTGGGGCTGCACAAGATCTACAGAAATACTCAGTAAGTAAGCTTGCATTTCAACCAATAAGTGCTTATATTATCTAATAAGTGCTAGTATTTTTTTTTTTTTTGGTAGAAGTTATAGTATTTTTTTTTTTTTTGGTAGAAATTATGCCTGTCTCTGTAATTTGAGCACGTGATATTCTCCACAGAAAGAGCCTCTTTTAATCTCAGCCTCTATTTTACAGTTATAGTGGTCAATTATGGAAGCCAACTTGACAATAAATTATATATTAAAAAAAACACCAAAAAAACCCCACCGAAAAAACAGTGGTCAATTACACTATAATCATCTTTTGGGGACACTGGTTCCACAGAACACACATAGATATAAATGAATTAACTGAAAGGTATCAAATTAAGCTGTCATTCTTTGAATGAACATATAACATTTTATAGAGGTCATTTTAAATGAAATACCTGACTCTTCCAACAGGACATTTTTGTGTGTAAAGAAAAGCAAAGTGAAAATAGCAAGTCTGAGAGATGCCTTTTTCCATTGTAAACTTATATTGAACTACTGTGGATGTTGTTACATTTGTGCCACAGAGTTTTTGACATTTTCCAATTAAAAGGGTATTCTTAAAGGATCCAAGAAAAAGTGACCCACTTAAGTTGCTCTCTGTGGCTGTGTCTACCCAGGCAAAATGAAACGAACAGTGGAGCAATTATTTGTGAGTGGAATTGATTTGGACAGTCAGCCTGAATAAGTCAGAACCAAAGCACCCTTCCTTCCTTTCTCCATAGCGGTATTTTACCCACCATCCCCCATGGTCTGGATGCATCTCTAATTTGTGTTTTGGCTACATAGACAGAATCTTTATACAGGAAAAAAAAAAGACTAATCATTTCTCTGCATTTTGGAAATGTTCAGACGACTCTCGTCCTTCTTAGTTTTTTTAACTGTGTTTTTAATTATGCTAAGAATCTTGAGATTTTACCTGGCATTTTCCTAGCAGAGCATGTATGGAGAGCATGATTCTTCTGGTTGCCATACTTTTGTATTTGAGTGTGACTCAAAGCCCTTTTCCCAAGGGAGGAGGTAATGACTCTTCGGGTAGCGTAGGATGTCAGAATTTAATGAGCATCCCTTATTTGACCCCCCGTGTGACACAGCACACTGCTGAGAAATTGTGTTGTTGCCCCAGGTCACTTCTGTGACCCAACCCCATTTCCTTTTTTCTTTACCTGCTTGCTTACTTTTCAACCTTCACCAGAAACATTTCTGGGGATCCCCAAACACAGTTCTTATTCCCTGAATTTGCTTTCAGAATGTAGAAGTTAATTAATATTGTGGGAAACAGAAAGAGACAGAAATTTACTTTGGAATTAGCTCCTACAGGTTGGGGAATTGTAGAAATATTCTTGTGAAAGGTTAGCTTATAAAGTCAATGAGTCAGGCAAGGTTATCCAGAAGTAAAAATGACTATTTTCTTCAAAATTCATTTATGGAAAGAAGGCAGAAACTCACCTACTCTAAAAGCTCATCAAACTTTCCCAATCAATTATAAAAGGTAAAGTGGTCCAGACCTTGCAAAATTATCACCAAAGGTCTATATTTGAAAAAAGATTCCAAGGCATGTATATAATGGCTTGTATTCAGTTATTCAGTATTCATTTAAACAGGATCTTGCTATAACAATAGAATTTAACTCCCAGGGTTCATTTAAAAGGAATATTTCATGTTTTATGCTTATTTCTAAGCCTGAATTAAAGCACAAGTGATAGTGTTTGTAAAATTACAGTATATTTGCCTTCTTTTGGCAACTCTCCTGGAATATAAAACTGAGGCTCACGTCACTTATCCTACGTGTTATTTGAGACATCTAAAAATAAACGAGGAGATAAAAAACAGAGGTGATCTCATTTCCTCTTTTAGCTTTTTCATGGACCAAAAGGAGCCAAGAGCCTAGGTGTCTGAGTGGGGGTAAAGTAGGGTCAGACTGTACTAAATGCAGCGTTTCTTAGTGTCTTGTCAGATAATTGAACTTTAAGGCTACTTTCAGTGGTCTGGCAGCCCTGTAAATGCTCCCTGTTGGCCCATTGTTAGAGAAATTTTCCCAGAGTTATTTTCAGGAGGTAATTGAATAATAGAACAAAAGGTCTGTCTTCTTTGTGTCTGAGGGGAGATAGGGGGCAGGGGTGAGCATTGGCAGCAGGAAGACAGACCATCCTCAGGGGCAGGTGAACCCGAGATTGCTCTGTTCCAAGTGGTTCAATACAGAGACTCTCATCTTAGAACTGAATCTTGAAATTCAGATCTATAGCTCATGATTTATTCAATGCAGTTTGTTTGACATGTTCCTTGATGTTCAATATCTAGATCTTCTTAACTGGTGAAACCTAGAAGAAAATCCCACAGGCAAAACCCAAATCTGACCTTTTCTCTCACTGCCTCTCTAGTCTAAACCATCTGAATGATTTAGAGAAGAGTTTCCATGGAGGAACACTACAAAGGAAGATCTGCCCTGCTTCACCATCCTGAGCCTCTATAAGCCATGTCCTCACTTAATGGCTTAGATTTGTTCCTTGTACCAGAAAACATTAAACTTGTAATTGTCTTCTTGGTCTTTCTTTTGCCTCCTGTGTGAGAGCTTTAAACATAGTATTTATTGATGGCAAACTGCTTTGTTTTATTTATGGGCTGTAGTAAGTTTTACAGAAGTGTTTATACTTCTGCAGATATCCAAAACACATCTGCTAAAGGAAGAAAGAAAGAAAGAAAAAAAGAAAGAAAGAAAGAAAGAAAGAAAGAAAGAAAGAAAGAAAGAAAGAAAGAAAGAAAACAAAACCATGCCACAACCCCAAAGTATGAGACATTCTGGCTAGCACAGTGTGGATTTAGAGGGGGGTTGGGAGATGGTAATAGTGACGATGGAGGTAAGAAAGATGAGCAAGATTGGCAACAGGTTTGGATAAAAATTACTTTTGTGTTGCCTGCATAATAAAAGCCACATAGTATAATTATATTTTTAATGTACCACTATGTTTTGTTTGAAGTCCATATTGCTATAATAATGTTTTATTGTTCCACACAGCCAGACTATCAGTGGTATGCTCATGACCAGTTTCCGCCAGATGTGCAGCACAAGGCAAATGGTAAGACCACAGCTGTATTGAGCATTCTTTCATGTTTACATTTTAATGGGGTCTTTTTTGGGATGTTTACTCAACATACATTCATTCGTACTCAGGGAGGGCCTTCTCTAAAGTTGTGTTGCATACACAACTGTAATTTGATGCACCTGGGGCTACATTGAACTCCTTCAGAAAAAGAAAATGTTCGAATGCAGATATGCATGAATCTCAGTTCTGGCTTCTGTTCCCATTCCAGTCTCAGAGTCAGTATTCCATCTGGGGTTAGAAAGGAAAACTTCAAGTAGAGCTATACTGTAACAACAACAGCAAAACTCTGTGATTCCACTACAAAGGGCAGATGCACATCCACTATTCCAGGTTGAGTTTGCTAGACAGATGTTTTAAATGTCACTGGCAGACAGACAGAGGAAGCCAAAGACTTAGAAATGTGTTCCCTAATGACTAAATGTCAGACTCCAAGTTTAGGCCAAGGTAGCCCACAACACCCACCTCTAAGTATGCTGGAAAAAACTAGAAAGGCACCTAGAAAGTACTTGCAACTAACTATTCTTTTATCTTCTTTTTCTTTGGTTTACCATTCTCCTCTTCTTTCCAGAATCTGCCATACTTTCTACTACTTATTTCTATGGTCTCAAGAGGCCATCTAGGAACGGGCTGTATAAACTGTGCTAAAACCATAATCTCATCTCTATTCTCATTACATATCAGCAAAAGTCAGCCATGCCTGCTACATGCTTAAAAATCTCCTATGACACACACCTATGACTCTATGTTGTTAATTTCCAGAGATTTTAATCTGTCTAGAAAAGCTAAAGATGGGCCATATTCCAATTTTGGGTCATACTTGAAACTTCAGTTCATTTAGTTCAGATATGAGATCACAGAATTCTAGTTTTTAGTACAAGGAACTCATTACGGAGTGGAAATAGAAAGCCAGGGATAATGTGTAGTTTTCCAGGTTGTATACTTCACAGGTCCAAGGAGTTCTTCATGGCAGTCTAAGCAAATATAGCCCCTACAACAAAGAGTGTGCTTTACACACCCTGGGCAGCTGTACCTGGCAGCACTAGGAGTGACAAAGGCCATAGCTTACAGTAGCCTTAGAGAGAAAAAAGGTAAAAAGTGAGAGCTCTATAATAAAATGTCTAGGTATTTATCAGAAAACTGTGGGACTCTGTTTTTCTTTTCTTTCTACTATGAATGTAGCCATTGATTTTAATGAATTCTTTGGGTTCCAGCCATAACAGTGGGCTTTTATTAGAGTGGCATACTATTAACCATAATAATTGTTGCATAATGTCTGTGTTTTTGAAATCCATTGTTGTATAAAAGCTGAACTGCCACCAATTATAATTTTCCACTTTGTATTATATTGGTACGGAATGAATATTAAAGATATTTTCTCTCTGAGTTGGAGTTTAATCACTAGAAAATACAATTATGCAGTAGAGAATTCACTAACATCATAAAGCCATTTATGTATCACTACTAGATTCTTCTTGGACCAATAGAAGTTAATAATTATATAAAATAGAAATGAATTGTTAGGACCTTCAGAAACTAAATAAAATTATGCAAACATAGAATATTATAGTCAGTATGTAAGACCCACAGATTTTTGTCTACTTGGGAAGAAATAATGAAGTTTGTGGTGTGTGATATGTTGTGTGACAGTCTACAGATGCAAAATTACAATAAAAAAGAAACCTCTATTATGTAGCAACCTGAGTGTTTTTAAAATGTTGTTTAAATATTCACGACATGCTATAAAATAGGTTTTGTTATTATACCATTTTACAGATGAGGAAACTGAGGCTTGGAGAATTTTAGTAGCATGCCTAAATCACACAGTGCATAAAATTTAGCCCTGAGATGAGATTCCAAATATAGAGAACTTCAAAACCCATCCTTGAATCACATCCTGTAGTTCTCCTGAAAACCACCCTCTCACTATATTAAAATTTTCTAAAATGATTGATGTAAAATGAGAATGGGGGCTTTAACTTTGATAATTATGACTATAATCTAACCATCAATAGTCTTTTCTTCCTATGAACTTATAACGTATATTATTTGCGCTACTCATTTGATATTTTGAGTATCATAGGTAAGACACAGTACTATGCAAAATTAAGTACATGATAAATGTTATAAATGAGTTCATGCTTGGGCAGCCCTGGTAGAAACTGATGAGGTATGTTGCCATTTGAAACCTTTCCTTCTCCATCCCAACACAGCTCTGCAGCTCTGCTTGTCTGTAGCAGAGAAGAGGGCTGATCATGGCCACGGGACCCCATAGAAAGAGATTCCTTACTCAGAAATCTACCTGTTTTTGATTTCTGTTGCTCTCTCCTAACTTCCAAGCTGATGCTATTTCTTTTTTTTTTTTTTTTTTAATTTTTAACGTTTATTTTATTTTTGAGACAGAGAGACAGAGTATGAGTGGGGAAGGGTCAGAGAGGGAGACACAGAATCTGAAACAGGCTCCAGGCTCTGAGCTGTCAGCACAGAGCCTGATGTGGGGCTCAAACCCACAGACTGGGGGATCATGACCTGAGCCGAAGTTGGCTGCTTAACCAACTGAGCCACCCAGGCTCCCCAAGCTGATGCTATTTCAAAGTTCAAGCCAGGTCATAAAAACTGGCAAAAGCTCTGAAATCACTCTCATCAAAAAAAATCTCATGTGTCATTATTTAATTTCGGTGGTGAGTCTTGTTATTTTTTGTTTCATTTAATTGGAAAGCTCCTTTTGATTTGTAGGTCAACCCAATTTCTTTTTTTAATCATATTTATTTATTTTGAGAGAGAGAGAGAGAGAAAGAGAGAGAGCACACAAGTAGGGGAGGGGCAGAGAGGGAGAGAGAGAAAATCCCAAGCAGGATCTGCACTGTCAGCTCAGAGCCCAATGCAGGGCTCAAACTCTACAAACCGTGAGATCATGACCTGAGCCAAAACCAAGAGCTGGATGCTAAACCGACTAAGCCACCAGGGTGACCCTGGGATTCCTTTTCTTAAATGTTTATTTATTTATAAACATTTATAGGTATGAGGGAGAGAGAGAGACAGAGACAGAGACAGAGAGAGAGAAAGAGAGAGAGACAGAGAGAGAGAGAGACGGAGAGAGAGCATACACATTCAAGTTGGAGAGGGGGACAGAAAGAGAGGGAGAGAGAGAATCTCAAGCTGTCAGCACAGAGCCTGATGGTGATGTGAGCTGAAGTCAAGAGTCAGACACTCAACCGACTGAGCCACTCATGTGCCCCCAATTGCTCAGAATTCTTAAAAGTAACTTTGTGGTATTGTTAAATATGAGTTTAGAAATCTTTTTATTATACAGATTTTTTAAATGATAGTACTCTGTCTTACTATATGGCTAATACGTTTATCTTTCACTATTCAGGAACCTACTGCTAGTCAATATACCCTGTGCTTTGGGCTATAAATACCAAAATTCAAACAATGGAAGGAAAAATGGGTGGAAAAATTAGGTAGCCTCTGTTTCTGTTAAATTATAAACAGAGAGTATTTTTAAAACTCGTATAAATTCTATTCATATAATAACTATGTAAGTGTTTTACTTGTATTTAAATGAAAATGATCCTTTCAGAAATATGGACATTTGAATTAATATTAATTTGTATGTGTGCTTTGTTCATTGCCCTAGTTCTCAGTTTTTATTACTTTCCCTGACTCCTGACAAATTTAGTTTTCTGACTGCAATATATATAGCACATTATATTTTGATCCTTATAACTATTCCTCTTGTGATCATCTAACCTGAAATACTGACTCTGATGTCTATACGTGAAGCATTTGTAGAGCAGTAGCCTTGTGATTTTTAAAAGGTACAGTGGGTAATGAGTGATTAAATTGCTATGATACCACTAGATCCTCCTTTAACATTCCCAAAGCCTGAGGCAAGAATACACGGAGAGCTGCATACTTCATGTTGAATATTTAAATGTCATGAATCATGCATAGAAGTTACTATAGTCTATCCTCCTATTGATACATATACCTGGAATGTCAGAGTGAAATTTAAAATGCCCATATTCCAACCAGTTCTGTTCCAGGACACAGTGGCACAGGAAGACCTAAGCCGTGGCCCATCCCCTCCCCTACTCTTCCCACCTTTCCACTGGGAGGGGTCTTGAGTGTGAATTTGAGTACAGCCCAGTTGAATATCCCAACTTCATCCTTATATCCCTCATTATGCTACAAACAGCACCCCCTTGGCTTCAGGTCTGGGAAAGAGAACCACATGAGGTCTAGAAGCAGAAATAGGATCAATGGGTAGGAAATTTGGGAATCTGCATGTGGGTACTAGGAGCTTGTTCTAGAAGAAAGAAGACTCACATGGGGGACAGGGATTACTAGAGGAAGGCCACAGCAGGGTCCTCTAAAAGTGTAGACCTAATGAAGGACTCCCTGGCCAAGGATTAAGTCAATGGGTACTGAGTACTCTTGAACAGTCTTTGAATCAACTAATCTCCATCTTTGCTGTCAGTTTCTGTCTCTGATTATTTTATAAAGCTTTGGGGACACAATGAGAATTAACTCTTCTGAGGTGCCTGGGTGGCTCAGTTGGTTGAGCATTCGACTCTGATTTCAACTCAGGTCATGATTCTAGAGTCATGGGATTGACCCCTGCATTAGGCTCTGTGCTGAGCATAGGGCCTGCCCAAGATTCTCTCTCTTTCCCTCTGCCCCTCTCCCTAACTTGCACATGTGTACTCTCTCTCTTAAAAAAAAAAAAAATGCACACACACACAAAGAAAATTAACTCTTCTTTCAAAAACTGAAGACTTAAATAAAGGTTTTCAAGACATTTAAGACTTACTTGGTTTTCTCTCTGCATAGCACTAAATAATGGCATTTTTATATATTGAAGTACGCAGATGTTAAGGGGTTACAATTTCCGTTTAAAAACGTGATTTTACAAAGAACATTTTAATTTAATTTCATCTGTTAACAGAATGGTATGCAAAATGACTTCCATGTTTCTAGAACAATTATGGCATAGTCAAGTTAGGATAACCTTGAAAACATGTTTTGTTTCTTCCTTTGTAAAATGGCAAAAGGCTATGCTTTCTAACTATATTGCATGCCAGTCATTTCTGTACCTTCCAAATTTTTCATATGGTGCCACGCTGAATTTCGTCTAATGAGCTAGAGCTTAATTTTTACATATTTGGAAAGACATGAAATGTAGGCATGTGAGATTGTGTCATCAGAAAACATAATTATTTCTTTACAACACAAAAGATCAAAGACCAACTATTATAATTGGCCTTTACTAATGTCTAATAATAACTCATTAACTGAACACTGACTGAATTTGTTTCCTAGGGCTACCATAACCAAGTATCAAAAACTAAGTGGCTTAAAAACAGCAGAAATATATACTTTCACACTCTGGAGGCTAGAAGTCTGAAGTCCAAGTGTTGGAGGGTCATATACCCCCCCCTCCCCCGAGATCCTCTAGGGCAGGCTCCTTTCTTGCCTTTTCCTGTTTCTAGTAGCCCCAGATGCTCCTTGGCTCATGATAGCATAACTCTAATCTCTGCCTCTCTCTTCACATGGCTGTCTTTCCTCTTATCTGTGTTTGTGTCCAAATTTTCATCTTCTTTTAAGGACTCCAGTCATGCCAGATTAGGCTAATCCAGTATAATCTCATATTAACCTGATTCTGTATGCAAAGTCCTATTTCCAAATATGGTCACATTCACAGGTGACCGGGGGTTAAGACTTACATATATCTTTTGGGGGGATACAATTCAACCCCGAACACTAATCCTGTGTCAGACACTATTTTAGGTGCTATATATATTTATAAATTATCTCATCAAAACCTTATAGCAACCATATGAAATGAGTACCACTGTTGTTCCTGTTTTATAAATGTGGAAACTGAGGAACAGAGACATACTGTCTCTTGTTCAAGTCCAAATAGCTGGTTATTGCCCACAACATAGACAAGCCTGAGCAGTCTAGCTCCAAAGCCCACACTGTAACCACTAAGCAATATGGACAACCCCAGACTATACATTAAAATATAATAATGTTGTGATTTTGATATATTTTATTTAAATAAATTTTTTTTTAATGTTTATTTACTTATTGAGAGATAGAAATAGTGGACGTGCATGCACTGGCAAGCAGGGTAGAGGCAGAGAAAGACGGAGAGAGAAAATCCCAAGCAAGTTTGGTGCTGTCAGCAGGGAGCCCAAAATGGCACTCGAACTCATGAACCCATGAGATCAAGACTGGGGCGTAACAGACTGAGACACTCAGGCACCCCTACTTAAATAAACTCTAATGACCCTGTCCTGAAAGCTAGAATCTTTCTCATTTTGTGTCTTTTTGTAGCTCTCTTTATAGCCAATCATTACAGATAATTATACATTAGTAAGGTGGCTGGATTAGTTAAAATTTTTTTTAGTACCTGATGGCATGAGGAGATACAGGAAGGAGTGTAAATAGTAAAAGTTTCTTAAGAGATGTAAGAAACAGAAGAAACTTAGAGACTATGCTTGTGTGGTTTTCAGTACATATGAGTAAAATATTAATTTTTTTCTTTTATAAAATACATTACTTTTATAATTGTCTTACCAGGAGTTAATAGAGAGTATTAAGCAAAATTTAGAGACAGTTTTATGCCTATTTCTGGAGTTTCAGAGAATTGCAGGATAAATTAAAGGTGTCCTCACCTTAGAATGCTATAAAAGTCAGCTTATTGGTAAACTAAGTGATTTTGTGAAGGGAATATTAAATAAAATATAAATGTATATTTATATGTACAGGAACATATGAAAATACAGGTGGTAAAATATACTCCTATGCAGACATTGGTTTGTAAGCATTCTATATAGGTATAGGTAGTTAACATTCTATATAGGTATAGGTAGGTAGGTAGATAGAGCCTAGATGAGAAAAATGCACACAATAAGGCTAGACTAGTCACAATTCGACTATGTAAATAAAACTGCAATATACCTCTTAAAAGGAAGATAAAATTCTGTAGGGAAGTGAGGTTTATATCCCCTGTTGCACTTCAACTGGGAAGAATATTTACTTCCCTAGGTTTCCTTACTGTTGATGCGTAAGCATCCACAATCTAAGAGGTGAGTGGGCATGATCCTTCTTTTTCTTGATCGATATCTTTCCCTCATTCTGTCCCCTTCTCTCCCCAGATCCCTTAGTCCCCTTCAAACCTGAAGGGGCAGGGGAGTGTGGAGAAAAAGCTCCAGGCCTAACATTCCATCTACTTTCCTTCCTGAGTCCCGGAGGGGGGCAAGAGAAGAGGGTGGCATCCCCAGCCCTCAGCACTGAGGAAGAACAGGGCTCCTAGAGTCTGACCTCTGACCCTTACCCATCATCTCCCTTCCTCCCTGCTCCCAAGACTGATCCACTTCTGGGTGGGGCAGTGGGTTACAGCTCGGCTCACACGGAGAATGTAAGAGCTACAAACAAAATTTCTATTAAATTAAGTTTTGTGTATTGAGAGAGAGAGAGATTGAGCAAAGTCACCTCAATCCTTTTAACCCTACTGCTGCACTGGTGCACCCTCTCCTCTCAGGGGACTTCAGATTCAGCCGATCCTTGATACAGGGTCAGACATGGCCTCTGCCACCAAGATCTCTGGATTCTATTCAGATCATTTCAGCATCGTGCTACTTAACATGCACTCTTGTGAACATAAAAGCATAGAGTGTAACACATACCACTAATAGGTAATAAGCCACACATTAGTGAGTGGAATTCTTTACCAGCCAATAAGGCAAAGCGGACTGTGTCCAGCACTGTGAGAACTCATGATTCCCTTGTGACATTTCCCTTGCCCTGCAATCAGAATCGTGGAGCCAAGTCTGATGACAGAAGTCTCTTCCCTCATTCACTATATGGGTACACTCTGCCTTCCCTTCAAGGAACTAAAGACCTGTTTTTGCTTTCATTCAGATTTCCATTCTGCCATGGACTATCTCTTGGGTCACAACCTCTCTCCATCTAAAACAAGGATAATGGCCCTTGCCTCTGTACTTATTTCACAAGAGTGTGGTAAAAACTACAGAGGAATTAATTTTTCTTAATGTTTTAAGATATCATTAGTGAATTAAGTCTAAACCTTAGATTGTTTATACCTGTGAACTATGCCCCTGGGTCCAAATTTATGTTCTTAACATATTGGATACATTACAAAATGTAATGGCTGCCATGCTTAGAAGAATATTTTTTTAAATCTTTTTTTTTTAAATGTTTTATTTATTTTTGAGACAGAGACAGAGACAGCGTGAGCAGGGGAGGGTCAGAGAGAGAGGGAGATACAGAGTCTGAAGACAGGCTCCAGGCTCCTAGCTAGTTGTCAGCACAGAGCCAGATGCGGGGCTTGAACGCACAAACCGCGAGATCATGACCTGAGCCAAAGTCAGATGCTTAACTGACTGAGCCATCCTGGCGCTCCTAGAAGAATATTATTTAAACCTGGAAAGGAAACTGTTAGTGAGTCAGGTTAAGTGTTTGCTTATCTGAAATACCAAATGCAGGCCAGCAAGAATAAAACATTTAATGTGTTCTAAATTGTTATCATGAATAGCAAAACACCTTATTTCTTGAAATTTATATATATTTTTTCTGTCGCCATGAGTAGATCTTTGATTTTGTCTTCCCTATAGTGCTTCCCTATAGTCCTACTAAAATATACTATGTTTTTCATATTGGTCTTCATGGTCCATTAACACATCTTAAGAACTGTGATCTTTTCTATTGCTTTGACAATAACGTACCCGTTACCACACTTAAAGTAGTTTATGTGACAGCTGTCATTCTGTGGGCTAAGTACTGAACCCGATAGTATCATATATGACTTCCTTTCATAAGCAAATGCCTGAGCTACCAAAATGCCAGTAAGGATGAGAAGTAGTACAGACAATTCTTCTTCAGACATGAGTAGAACTAGGACACAGCTGATTTTACAAAGTGGTAAGCATATGTCAATGCTTAAAATAATAACCCTCCATTTCCCACCTCTTGATTTCTCAGTGTAAACTGATGGGAGCTCATGAATAAAATATCTTTCTTTTTCTCTCTCTCTCTTTTTTACCAGCCTTAAACCAGAAGAGAAATGATTTTTTAATTTTTAATCTGAAACATTTTCCTGCTGTTTTTCATAGGCTTCTCCTCAGAAAAGAAAGTCAATCAGTAGAAGCACACACAAGTGCCAGAGCATACGGGCAGAGGGAAAACTTGGCCAAGCTCCCTCATTTCTCTTTTTCCTGTGGCTTGTGTCTGCACAACTGCATATCATCTACTCCATTATTTGTGCCTGGTAGTGCTTCCCTTTGGCATGGATAGAGGAAAAGACTTGTGACAGCTAAGCTCCTGATCAAGTCTGAGAAGCCGGTGTCACACAATGGAACACAACTTCCTGTTTCCTCGGCATGAGATTGGGCAGATGGATTATGCGCCGTTCTTTGAAACTCTCTCCAGCATATTGCTGTTGGATTTACAGAGGTGATTTCAAAATTTCAGCAACTCCACTTTTGGTGCAGTGATGTCATATGTTGATTGAAGTGTATATTCCCTGAGGGAAAAGCTTCTGCAGTGGTAAATTTGTAACATTGCTCCCATTATTTTTGTGGGGGCTTGGTTCTTTAGCCAGTTTGACTAGATATGTGTTCATCTTTGTTGGACTCAGTGAACCTGTCAATAGGACTGAAGAGGTGTATATACTTCCTGAAACTCAATGAATGGTTCAATAACACAGTAAACTTGAAACTGTTCTTTAAATAGATCATTCCTTTAAGATGACAGAAAATTGTGAGCCTACTTCATTTTTACGTGGAATAGATTATGAAAGATAAACTCTACTGTGATGATGATAGTGTTGGCTGTGTTCGTATACACTTCCGTAGTAGTTCAGAGATACATGGATTTGTAGTTAACTCTGTTTTTTCTTCCCATGGATTTGAGTAATTACTGATAAAAAACATTCTCAAGCCTATTAAAATGGAAAATGAATGTTTCCAAATTGTATGGCAATTAAGTTGTACAGTGGCATGACAGATGTCTAAAGACTAAGCAGATTTAAAAGTATTACGTTCATCTATTTAATAAGGTTTTTGCTACGACCAACTGGAGATCCTTTTTGTGAGATGTATAACAGGAGTGTGAGATCCACAGATATCTGTGATTCTAGCAGTACCTAAAGAAAACCAGGAGCGTCTGCTGAACCTGAAATCAAATAAAACAATACAACATACTGCTGAAATTATCTAGCTCCGACTTCCAGAAGTTATACTGCTTAATTCCAGCTCAGATACTTTTCTTTTTTCAGTTTCTGAATATACTTGAAGCTTTGTGTAATGGGGAAGTGAAAGAGCCTTAGAAAGTTAACTACTTTCAGCCTGAGTCCAACTACCTAAAACACAATTCCTGAGAAAGAACTATCCTTCTCTTACATTAATTCTTTGTTTTTGTTTTCACTGCTCCTTATTAAAGGGACAAACCATTCTTGAGCAATACTTCAGCATAAGTGAATCAGAAAAACAATGGACTTTACAAGTCAGTGCCATCGAAGCACATTTTTTTAAAATTTCCGTTTCCTCAGATTAGTGGGAAAGTCATTGCAATAACAACTGTGAGGGGTGGATTAAGTTTACCAGCTGAGATGTGCCTGTCAGAATAAGAACGGAACACACATACAAGAAGTACCCTTTGATGGACTCATTCTAGGGCAATCCAACGGCAACAAAACAGGACTTAACCATCCCATTTTTGTTACTGAAGTCTTCCTATTATTAATTAGCAAGTTGGCAAACATTGGCGAGATGGTGCCAATGCTAATGTAATGGGAAAAACTCCAATTTAAGTGAGACCTAATTTAATTTGAATTCCCAGTGGGCAACTGCAAATGTGAGAAGAGGACCCCTTGCTCTGCCCTTCCAAGAAGACAGATTTCTAAGGCCGTGGCCATGGCCCGAGAGCCAGCCAGTCCCTCCTGTGTCCCTCTCCCCAAATCATTTGTTTGGGGACTTCTGTCTCAGCCCATTATAAAGGTTATTCTCAGCTGTGGCACTTGCTTCATTATCACAACACAATTTGTGGAAATTATGTGAGGAATAGCTGTGTGAGGAATAGCTGAGGGTAAGAAGTCCTACCACACAGTCTCTTTTATCTAAGAAATGTACCACTAGGGCCCATTTTAAGTTTTTGATGATCATGGAGAATTTGATCTTGAGGGTATCACATTCACTTTGTCCTGATTGTGACATGAAGTCAAAAGAAATCCTTCCTTAGGGTCGGTCTGGTTAGGTCTGGGAGTTAGGCCAGCCTCTGTTGCTACTAGTGTAGGTGTTTTGTTTTGTTTTGTTTTTACCTCATTTTCTTTTTAATAAAAAGGACATTTCAGACTAACTTGCTAATATTATTAAGCATGGACAGAGTTCCACATGATTTTCTTTATTTATTAAGCTCTATCCCCCAGCAAGAGAGGTATGATTACTTTCTTATTACAGAAAATTAATCTAGGGCTCAGAAAGATTCCATCATTTCCACAAAATCTCAAGACAGGAAAATGGCAGAGCCGGGATTCAAAATTGTGGGCCAGGGCCACCCAGTTCTGTGCATGCTGTAATTCTGCTTTCTAGATTACTCCGGCAAATTCTCCTTGTTTTCATAGTTCTTTTGGGTTTTTACAAAATTGCATTCCAAGAGCATATTTGTTACAAGAAAGTATTTTGATAAAGAAGATACTGTGTATGTATAGAACTTAAAGAAGTATCTAATTTAGGCAACTACATGGGAAAAGAAAAATATACACTTACTGTTAAAGTACATTACATGGGGGGTCGCCTGGGTGGCTCAGTCAGGTAAGTGTCTGCTTCAGGTTAGGTCATGATCTCAAAGTTCATAGGTTTGAGCCCCATTTGGCTCTGTACTCACAGCTCAGAGTCTGGAGCCTGTTTCGGATTCTGTGTCTCCCTCTTTCTCTCTGTGCCCCTCCCCTGATCTCCCTCTCTCTCACAAAAATAAATAAACATTAAAAAAATAAAGTGCATTATATGCTTTATATATACTTTATACTTATATATACTTTAAAGTGCATATATATACTTTAAAAGTATAAAGTATGAGCCTGAATGATTGCTCTCATGTATCAATACATTTTTTAATGTTTATTTATTTATTTTGATGGGGGGGAGGGGCAGCAAGAATCGGAGAGAGAGAATCCCAGGCAGCTTCCACATTGTCAGTGCAGAGCCCAACCCAGGGCTTGATCTCACAATGAGATTATTATCTCACTATGAGATTATGCCCTGAGCTGAAATCAAAAGTCGGACACTTAACCGATGGAGTGCTCCTTCTCTGTATCATTCTAATCTTAGTATTTGTACTGCCTAAGTGAGCACAACAACTATATGAATACATGCTTATTTTCAAAAATGTCTAGGCAGCACAAAACATCTCACACCGCTTCTGTCACTGTCCACTGTTTTTGGTTGAATACATATTTGGGGGTGGGGAGAGACAGAGTCATTTAGCAGCTTTTATTCTCCTCAATTTGAGGGTCCCTTTGCCCCCTTTTCCTTTTTGCCATTTTTCTACCCATCTTCCAAGGGACCTCAATGATATTAGATCCTAAGGTGATAAAGAATCAGTCGCATTGCTGTTGCAGCTACACTAAGATCCTTCTTTCCCTGGCTCAGAATTGCTTAAGCTCCAATTATACAGCTTAAAAGAAAGGAAAATATTTTCTATAATCCCCACTGTTAATAATTTTAGAAATATTTTCTCTTGCTTCATTTCGTTTTTACCTATCTACCTCTTCATGCTCATCAGTCTTTTGGTTCAAGAAAAATGGTGTTCTGGGGGACCAGTTATACCTCAAGCATTTGTGATTCTATAGAAAAGGAAACTTCTACCAGCGCACACTATGCACACACCCACATATACCACACACACAGACACACACACACAGACACACACACACACTTCCTCTACACTCATACTCCACTCAACATATACACCACACACACCATATAAACACACTCCACCACATACATATACATGCCATACACACAAAATACAGACACACCACACACACCACACATATACACACACACCATACTCACTGTGTGGAAACATATCACGCATACATACCCCACATATGCACACATATCACACACGCCACATACAGGTTCACACACCATACAGACTCACTACACACACATATACAACACAGACACACACACATACACACACCCTGCCTCTACCTCTTTACCTTGCAGGCAACAGTTTAGGCCTCTAGTTTCTCCATTTATGTCTAGGTAGATTTACTCAAATTGAAAATTTGCATAATAAAGGTAATTTTTTTTTCCATTTTGCCTCAAATCCCTGTGTGTATAATATATTGCCAAGAATACTGACAAACACTATCCTAAACTCCTAGAGGAAGTGATAATGTTGAGATCTAGAACCAAATAACTTGCCAGTAATTGCTGAGTAATACAAGGGGGGACTTTTAATGTTCATGGGAATATGTGAGTCTCACTGATTTGTGTACTGCACGGAAAGTTAAAATACTTTCTCTCTACTCTCCTTTGACTTTATTCATTTCTAACATCAGAAGAAAGCACAATTTATGAGACTCAGGAAATACTGTTTGGTAAACTAAACCCAACCTTCAGGGCTTCCTGATGTGCTTATTACTGAGAATTAATTTTCTGGGAGAATCCATCTTATTAACTGATTTTCCAAGTCTGCTCTTGGACTTGGCAGGGGGGTTCTTAGATGGACTGGTGATTTCATTTGCACATCCGTGGGGGAACCTCATGGCTTCCCTCTCTTGTATCTACAGCCAGAGGATGATGACCCACATTAGTCAACCACAGAGACACACACAGCTGGCAAGAATAAGAATGAGACCCCCCTATTCAAAGACTTCTTTGCAGGCAGATCTCACAATGCTGAAGTAGAAGAAAAATGAACTTCGGAGACTCGTTTGTTTCTTGGTTTTCAAATGCCTGTGCCCGCTCCTTTTTTTTTTTTTTTTTTTTTTTTTTGCATAGCACTTCAGTATATTTTAGGAGAGTTATCTTTCCCTACTGGACCCAGTTTGACCTAAAGTGCCCTGCCCTCTCCTGAACAAGAGGCAACCATATGATCCAAACCAAGCTATTCGGACACTCCGGTGCTGGAATTTGAACTTCAAACCAGCATAGTCCTGGGAAGACTGTGGTCATTACCTGGCACCTTAGAACTGGTCATGTTCTTCAACATATTGTATATCATGTTCTACTCACATTGATGTGAGTAATCCACTATCTCCCCAATCAATTTGTTAAGTAAGAGTTTCTTGAGTTTGAAACAAATGAATCTTAATTAATTGCAAGCATGAAAGTTAAAGCTCAGAGAGTACTCGTCAAGTATATTGTGAGAAATAAATATATATAATGCACACACATTTTTTATATCTTTAAAAATGGAAAGTCAACCTCATAATAATATAATGAGATGGGTTAATCCAAATGTCATGCTTGCCAGCCTTACAAAATACTATCTTGGATCATGGTGCAATACATTTTAATATCTTTTAAAGTGGAAAATACCATAATGGAAAATAAAGTACACCTCTTCATTTGCATTTTCTCCTAAATCCAAAAAGCCCTTTTAGGAGATATTTTAGGGGCACCTGGGTGGCTCAGTCAGTTAAACATCTGACTTTGTCTCAGGTCATATCTCACAAAGACCTCACAGTCTTCAAGCCCTGCGTGTCAGGCTCTCTGCTGGCAGCTCAGAGCCTGGAGCCTGCTTTAGATTCTGTGTCTCCTGCTCTCTCTCTCTCCCCTCCCTCCCCCACTCATGCTCTATCTCTTTAAAATGAATAAATGTTAAAAAAAGTTTTTTTTAAAAAGGAAGATATTTTAATGAGGCAAACTTGGGAGAAGTTCCAATAAGATAACCACCAAACCACGTCTCCAACCACCAAAGCACATGTCTAATTTTCTTGTTTCTTGTTTTGAAGTGCTTACTTGCATATAACTGGTAATACATATTTTCATAGGTTGTTAATAAATAAATTATAGGAAATAGAATTCCTTTGTATAGGAACTATGCCAAATGAATTCTGCTTTAACGTCTCAGTGGGATGATGTTCCCCCACCCACAGCAAAGTTAAACTCTAACATAAACTTCAGATTGTTCTATAACAGAATGTTCATTGAGATACAAGGTAGCTCCTCAATGAAAAGT